CTTTAAACCCTTAAACCCTTACACCCAAAAACCCTTAAACCCACAAACCCTTAAACCCTAAAACCCCAAAAGCCCTAAAACCCTAAAACCCTAAACCACAAATTCTAAAGCCCACCTCCTAAGCCCTCCCTCGACCCCAAAGCCCTATCAAGCCCTCTGTCCCAAATCCTCTCTCAATGCAGCTCCTGCGGCTTGCAGAAGCCGGCAGAGAAGTTCAGATGCCATGTCTCTGTTTCTTTTTTTGAATTTCAGAGTTTCTGCTGGGCTCCAGGGTTGAAGTCTACGGCTCAGTAGGCTTTAGGCTTTAGGCTTGAGGCTTTAGGCTTTCGGCTTTAGGGTCTATAGGTCTTTTCTAGGGCTCTCCTGCGGCGAGCTGCGGATGCATATGTGGTCCCTGAGTCGGCCCTTGATCATCCTAGAGGCGCTAAAAATGTGGCTTTCATGCGGTTGAACGATGTGTGTCTTCGCGTTGGAATCCTCCAAATATTCCCTGCAGATGCTGCGGCGGCACGCGTGGATTGGGGAACACGGCGCCCCAGACAGCCTCAACCATCAAACTTCAAACCCTAAACCCTAAAGCCTAAACCCTAAACCCTAAACCGTAAACAATAAGCCCTAAGTTAGAGTTACACCCCACGTGCACCCGCAGTGGGTTTGGGGATGAGGGTGGCCTGAGCGAGGGTTCGGTGGCTTTGGGCTTCGGGCTTGGGGCGTGGGGTTTAGGGTTTAGCCCCTGAACTTGGGATGCTCCCCCATTCTAGGGGGTACTATAATCCCGATTAGGGAGTGACTGTTAGTAGAAGGGTCAATGCAAGTCCAGCCCTAAACCTAAACCCGAAACTCTAAACCCTGAACCCTAAACCCGAAACCCTGAAGCCCAAGCTCAGCCCACACCCAGGTTTAGGGTTTAGGGTTTAGGGTTTAGGGTTTAGGTTGAGGGTACTTCTGGGCCGGACCAAAGGGTGGTCAGCGACCAGTTTAGGGCTGTGACCGGGGTGTAGAGGCTTAGGGTTTAGGGTTTCGGGTTTCGGGTTTCGGGTTTAGGAGTGCTGCGGCCAAGGGCAGCTTCATGGGGGGAGGGGGGGGGGGAAGTCCCAGCTAGGGTAGCTTCTAGAATAGTACCTGGGGTGCACTGCGGGGTCGGACTATATGCAGGGGTGTGAGGATGCCTGTCCTGGAGGAAGCCTCGCCCAGAGTTTACTGTGAAGGTTTAGGGTTTAGGGTTTAGGGTTTAGGGTTTAGGGTTTAGGGTTTAGGGTTTAGGGTTTAGAGTTTAGGGTGTGGGGTATCATTAGGGCACACGACGGGCTACAACACTGCATGCGCTTCATTTGCGCCAGTTAGAGCCAGCCTCCGGCAGATTCGGACAAAGGGGTCAGAACAACCACACCGCGAATTCCCGAAGTTCGGGTCCCTTTTGGGGTACCTAACACGTACCCTTACCCCCTTGGGTTCCCCCCAAAAGGGACCAGAACTTTTGTCCTACATCACATGTGTGGCAGGGCACTCGTCCCACTCCACCGACCAAGTAAGTTCCCAGTCGCGCGGGCGACCACAACACTGCTGCGGGGGTAGGTTTAGGGATGTTCCCCCTGATACGAACAGTCCTCAAAGGGATTATAGTTTAGGGTTTAGGGTTTAGGGTTTAGGGGTTAGGGTTTAGGGTTAGGGTACCCCCTACTAAGGACTGTTCAGTATAAGGGGAACATCCCCAAGGGGTGGGTCTAGGGATGAACCCCCCAAAAGCCTGGAGCAGAGCTCGGAGGCGGGGATCTCGTGGTCGTCCCGCTGGTGCTTCAGCAGAATGGAAGCGTGCGTCCCGAAACATGAGGGTTTTTTGGGGCTAGGGTTTAGGGTTTTTGGGGCTAGGGTTTAGGGTTTAGGGTTTAGGGTTTAGGGTTTAGGGTTTAGGGTTTAGGGTTTAGCTACTTATACTCGAAACCACGGAACCCAACTCCCTCTCCCTTTCTCTATATCACTGCATATACACATGTGGACAAAAGAACAATGGTGGTCATGAAATCACCAACAAAAAGATGAATCATGATGAACCATGGTAACAAACCCCTTAGCACCAGCAAGACGTCAGCTGGTCACCCCCTTTAGGGGGCTGGCCACGTGGGCTGTGGGCTGCGAGGCAGAGGTGTGGAGGGGTACCCTGAACCCTCGACTCAACCTGAGCCACGTAGACATGTATGTATCGAGAATCTACACTTAAGCCGGGCTTCGGGATAGGGTGTACTCCCCAGGGTTTACAAAGTCTACACCCTGCAAGACTCAGGATTCTTGGCGCACCTCACGAAGGAAAAGGGCGCCTCTTTTGTTCAAAGGAACAAGGGCCTACTCTGGGTCCTAGACCTCTGGCACACGTGAGGGCATGCGTGCAGCATGTGGCGCACCCTCAACCGTAAACCCTAAACTAACCCAAGCTGCCGCCAGTAATTAGTACCCTTGTTTCCCAGTTTAACGGGAACCCAGAGCTCGAAACCCAAAACCGACCTTTACAGTCCAAATGCTCCCTGTGAACGTACCTGGAGGGTTTGGGGCTTAGGCAATGCAGGGGTCTAGGTTTAGGGATGTGTTGGGTAGCTTCTGTGGTGAAAAATGACTGATTCGGAGGGGCAATGGTTGGTGCAACCCTCCCGAGTTCTACTTGCCAAACATCCCCAAGCTATTTAGTGGGTAATGATTTGAGCAACAGGGCCAAACCCTGAACCCGAAACCTCAAACCGTGCTGGAGACCAGAGCCCTACACTCCAAACCCTGAACCTCCCCACCTCTGCCCGCAGAGGCTGACGCGTCTTGGCCCGAAACCCTTCAAAGGGTTCGCGGGCTGCTTGCAGGCTTAGGAAGTTAGGGTCCCCCTTAGAACCTCAATAAGAACACAACTGTTAATTTTCTCTTGGGTTTTGCATAAATTACAATTCACAACAAATTCCTAAGAGGAAGGTGTAGTTTAGGGTAGTGTGTCTCTACCCTAAACCCTGGAACCCTGAACCCTAAACCCAATTTAGGTTTTAGGGCTTACGGTTGAGGATGCTAGTATCGAGCGTTCATGGTTCTGGGCCTTAAGGGTCCCCTGAATTCCGGGTAATGCTAGACCCCCACACCCCTAAGAGCAAACCGAAACCCTGCAAACCCTACCCTAGATCCCCAAGCCCTAAACCCTAAACCCTAAGCCCTAAACCCTAAACCGCCTAAACCCTAAACCCTAAACCCTAAACCCTAAACCCTAAACCCTAAACCCTAAACCCTAAACCCTAAACCCTAAGCCCTAAGCCCTAAGCCCTAAGCCCTAAACGCGAGTGAGGAGTCGGGGCATGATGAGGGTTAGTACTTGAAGTCTGGAAGGTTCGTGGGACCTGCTAACTGCCTCTCAGCCAGGATAAGACCCTAAACCCTAAAACCAAAAACCCCAAAGCCTATCATCCTACTCAGTGCCTAGGGTTTAGGGCCTTAGGGCACGAGGTGGACTTTGATGCCCTTGGCTGAGAGTATGCAGGCTACTGTGAGGAGCATAACTTCATGTACAACTATTTCGGATGTCCATGACCCTTCCAGTAGGTTTAGGGAGGAGGTTCAGGGCATACAGGGTTTTGCTTGGGTTGAGGGATTGGATGTAAGTGTACCCAAGACATGATCACCAGCAGAAAGCGAAGTTGAGGGATTCATACTTGAGGGACTGCACCTCCTGGGGTCTCAACTTCTGGGGAGCCTTAGGGCCGACCCAAGAGTAACCTGGGAATTAAAGAAGGGCACCCCTTCTTGGCTTCCGAGGGCTTCGAAGGGAACCTAAACCCTACAACAAAACAACAACCCTAAACCCTAAACCCTAAACCCTAAACCCTAAACCCTAAACCCTAAACCCTAAACCCTAAACCCTAAACCCTACTCTTGGTCCTAGAGTACATGGACCCGAACTCGTAGACCAGGCTCCGGCGTTGCAAGCACCCCTGTCGTGGCTTCCGAGCTTTGGCCACGAGTGGCAGCAGGCAAGAGGAGCTGCGCCAGCACGGGGCGCAAGAGAAGCAAAAAAGAACTCGCGCATCGTTTGGGTCGTAAGGCCAACCCTAAACCCCAAACCCTAAGCCCTGAACCCTGAGCCCTAAGCCCTAAACCCTAAGCCCCAAAGCATCAATTTTTCAAGAGTCTCAGACTCAACCCGTGAACCACTGATCCGAAGATTGAATCGCTAAATAGTCCTGAGTATATCAAAATGCCACATGGGTACTCCTACCCCAATTACAACTGTACTTATGGCCTAGGGTTTAGGGTTTAAGGTTTAGGGTTTAGGGTTTCGGGTTTAGGGTTTAGGGTTTAGGTCCTAACCTGGCCAGGCCCTTGGGATATTTCATACTTGCATTTTGGGGGCTTAACAGGACCTCAGTCGGCACTATTTCAACCGAAGCTTGGGGGAAACGGCCCGAGATTGCACTGTGACCGCAGGGAGTCATTGAAAAATGCTGCCTCGCCCTGCACAGTCCGGGCGTGTGGGGATTCAGTACCTCCACTTCGCACCAGGTCTCTGCTGTGCACGATCAGAAGCATCGGCTACAAAAGCCGGGTTGCCAGTTTTTCGGCAACGAACCAGCCTGCTGCTGGGGAAAGAAGGGCTTTACGGCGAGTGTCTTGGTTTGGGGGGGGGGCCGAAACTACCCAAAACTCTCTGAGAACCTGTGCCGTCCAAAGCAGGGTTTAGTGTTCAGAGCTTAGGATTTAGTGCATCCTTCTTGCGGAGTAGGGCCGCAGAAGTGTTGGGAAATACATACGGACCCAACACCAAGAACTGCCAACACACAGTAGCAAGGACTCAGGATTGAAGGGAAAGGTGGATAGGTCTGACCGAAAGCCCTCCCCCTTGGTGCCTTAGTAGCCCAGTAGCCATGTTAATAACAAGGCCACCCCTTTTTGGGGTTGGCTACTTTATAAGGGAAACCATAACCAAAAAAAAGGTAAAGGGTACCACTGGGCTACTAAGGCTACTAAGGCGCTCTTCACACTCACTTCTGGTTCTGCAGTTGCTGCTGCTGCTGCTGGCGCCAGCTGGCGCCTGGGCGACACGAGGATGCTTCTCTAGGCTGCTTAGTAACCAAGGCTTATAAAGGGTGCCCTTTTTTGCTTGAAGGGGTTTATAAGGGAACCTAAACCCCGCAAAAAGGGAATAAGGGTACTACTGGGCATCCTAGTTCTTCACCTGCTCCTTAGCGTTTAGAGCGGAAGTATCCACATTCCTTGAGACACGCCGGGTGCTCCTTCCTGTGCAGCACGGTCCAGAACGAAAGGTCACCAACAAAAAAATGCATGTGGAGAGGTTCTCGAAATTTATGTCCGTGGTCCCAAAACTCTAGAGCCACCCTAAACCCGGCTTCCTACTCTAATACGGTACGCCAATGTACACAACGCACCTAAACTCCTAAACGCCAAAGCCTCCTTTCTGCCCAGTCCTTACCAAAAAGGGAAGCTGCCTTAGGGCTCTTTTTGGAACAGGTGTCGGGTTTAGGGTTTAGGGTATAGGGTTGAGGGTTTAGGGTTGATCTACTACCTGACATGAGGAGGCGGGACACATCAACCACAGTGGCCTGTCCGAGCCCCATTGCTTGGTGTCACTGCCAGGGAAGGTTTAGGGTGGTACAAAGTCAAGCTTTAAGTACCCAAGAGAGAGACCCTTGATGGGGTTACCCCTAAACCCTAAACCCTAAACCCTAAACCCTAAACCCAAAACCCTAAACCCTGAAACTAAACCCACTGAATGAGGACCTCCTAGGTCCCCGATCTCCAAGATCGGATGTTGTCGGGCTTAGGTTTTTGCTCAGGGATCATTGCTGGGATGCCCCTTCTCAGCCCTCTGGGACTAGGCTGCCCAGTAACCTAGGCTCAAAAAGGGTGCCCTCGTTTGCTTAAAGGGGTTTATAAGGGAACCTAAACCTACCAAAAAGGGAATAAGGGTACTATTGGGCATCCCAGCCTCAGGGAAAGAATTCCGACATGAGAGCCTCTTCAGCCCAATATGCAAAAGTGCAATATCCCAAGAGCCGAGCTAGGTTAGGGATCTCAAGTCCAAGCATTCACTTGTCCAGCGCTTCATCGAGCGGTGGGGAAAAAAACACCCGCCCGGCCAAAGACTCCCATAACATTAAGAACATACTCCATTTACATCTTTCTAATCAGGCGACAAGACAGACAACTCTAAAGCCAGCCCAGAGTAGGCACTAACCCTGAAGCCGAAAACCAGCCCAGAGATGCCCCTAAACCCCATAGCCAGCCCTCAGCCCTCTGGAAAAGAAGTCGCCTCTTAGCCCAAAATGCAAAAATGCAATATTTTTAAGGGACTAGCTAGGTTAGGGTCTAGGGTCGACCTCCGAGGCCTTGAAGGGTGTGCAGCAATCCTATGTCCTAGAGCTGCGAAGTCGGACGTCGGGCTTTTTCAGGGTTTAGGGTTTAGGGTGTAGGGTATAGGGTTTCGGGTTTAGTGTTTAGGGCTTAGGGCTTAGGGGTTTAGGGTTTAGGGGTTTAGAGTTTAGGGTTTCTGAACCCGAAACCCTAAACGCCGTGCAGGATTCCTGCCCAGGGGTTAAGGGTGTAGGGCTAGGCGCTTGCCGAAGCCTAAGGCCTTAAACCCACCCTAGGCCCTAAACCCTAAACCCTAAACCCTAAACCCTAAACTAAACCCTAAACCCTAAACCCTAAACCCTAAACCCTCCATGACGGCTTCTGGGCCAAGCAGCGAAGCCGGTAGCCGGCCCAGCAGCCAATAAGGCACGGAATGCAGATCGCCAAGGTCCCGGCGAGGGGCAGGACCCACCTTGGGAGGGCTTTTAGGGTTTAGGGTTTAGGGTTTGGGGTTTGGGGTTTGGGGTTTAGGGTTTAGGGTTTAGGAGTTAAACCCTAAACCGTCAAAGCCCGGCAAAGAAGCTCAAACTTGCGGAAGCCCTCGTTCCCGAAACCCTCAACCCTAACAATACCATCAGGCCGCGCAAGCTCGACGGTATCAGCCGGTTCCACCTCAACGCGGCGCCGGCGAAGCTTTCACGATGGATTTGGGTTTCGGAAGTGAGTATTTGGGGTTTGAGGTTTAGGATTTCGGGCTTGGGGGTTCCCCTACTCCCAAACTAAACCCACAGCCCTGCTGCAGGTGCGCAGACCAACTAAGAAGCTTAAGTCAAGTAGAGTTGAGCTTAAATACAGGTATAGGGCCGAGAGAGTATGAGCCATCTCAGCCGCCCAAGCGCGAGACTTTGGCAGGTTACTTCCCCTGAAGTTCAGAACAGAACCGCGAAACCAGCCTGGGTTGCCAGACAACCTAGGAATCCATTGCAGCTCTTATTGGTAACAAGTATTAGGGTCTGGGGTTTAGGGTTTAGGGTTTATGTCCGTCTAACCTAACACTGAAACAATGAACCCTAAACGGGCGGGGGGGGGGAGAAGCGGGTACTTGCAGTGCTTGCAAGTGCCTGCCAGTACATGGCCGTCGTCGCGTTCGCCGACCAGGTGATGGTTCTGTTGGGGTCGACCTGTGCTACAAACGGTTCCGGGCTCAGGGACCCTGAAAGACGCACGTACTGCTCCAGCAGCCAAAGAAGCACAAAGTCAGAGCCCTAAAACCCAAGCCTTCTGACTATTCCTAGTGAGAGGACACCTTGAACCCTAAAACCTAAACCCTATAAACCTAGCCCTAAACCCTAAACACAAAACCCCTAAACCCCTAAACTCTACTAGTGATGTCTTCGAGCATGAAAGAACGGGTTCACCGAAGAGGCACCAAAACCCTAAAAACCGTAAACCCTAAACCCTAAACCCTAGACCCTAGACCCTAGACCCTAGACCCTAAACCCTAAACGCCAAGCCACGGTTCCGAAATTCAGGGCAGTCCGCGACTTACCAAAAGACAACACATCTCCTGATGCTGAAGCATCTGCATGTAAAAACCCGGAACCCGCAGCACTCGAAGTGCCTCAACCTCAGACCAGAAAAAAGAACCCTGAACCCGGATACAATGTTTACCTGCATCTCCAACCAAGGAATAGACAGGTTAGACGTTAATTTTCCTAAGGAAATATGGAAACCCTAAACCCTAAACCCTAAAACCTGAACCCCGAACCCTAACCCCTAAGCAACTCAGCAAGCCTCACGGTCAGCTGCCGGGCAAGTAAGTCTTACTAGATCCAAGAGCGACCTAGGACTAGAACGGGGTAACCTTTTTAGGTTTAGGGTTTAGGGTTAAGGGTGGGTCCTAGTAGCCCTAAACCCTAAACCCTAAACCCCAAACCCTAAACCCTGAACCCTAAACCCTAAACCCTAAACCCTAAACCCTAAACCCTAAACCCTAGAAAATGGTGGAATAGGGGCACACCCGGGGTCCGCGTACATTGGCTCAGGGGAACTAAGCAGCAGCACCAAAACCCGACGGCTCCCTTTGCCTTGCTGGCCCAAAACCCATGTTTAGGGTTTAGGGTTTAGGGTTTGGGGTTTAGGGTTTAGGGTTTAGGGTTTAGGGTTTAGGGTTTAGGGTTTAGGGTTCACAGAATAATGAGCCTCTCAGGGGTTTTGGGGTTGAGGGTTTAGAGTTTAGGGTTTTATGAGAAGCCCCCAAAAGTTGAAAAGTTGGGTTTTGAGCCAGAAGGATGCCCAGCGGCCATTCCAACCCGCACATAGGACCCACCCTGCACCTGAAGGCGAAGGCGAGGGTTCGGGGTTTGGGTTTGGGGTTTAGGGTTTAGGCATTGGGTCCTGAGGTTTAGGTTGTGCCCCAAACCCTAAACCCTAAACCCTTAACTCTAAACCCAAAACCCCTGAGAGGTTCATGGGTTCAGTCCCTACCAACACTCTGGGGAGCTGGAGCTGAACGCCTAGAGCCTCCTGGATGACGACCAGGGCTCATCGCGTACGTGTTTAATGGGAGAAGGGTTCGGGTTTAGGGAATAGGGTTTAGGGTTAAGGGTTTAGGGTCAAGGGTTTAGGGTCAAGGGTTTAGGGTTTAGGGTTAAGGGTTTAGGGTTAATGGTTTTGGGGTAAGGGTTTAGGGTTAAGGGTTTAGGGTTAATTTGATAGAAGCTTGGACCCGAAACCCGCACCCCTTCAAACCCGGAGCCGCGAGCCCCTAAAGCCTTTGCATCCGACACCCGGAACACTTGGCTTCCTGCTGGCCTCACCATGCTTCAAACCCTAAACCCTAACCCTAAACCCTAAACCCTAAACCCTAAACCCTAAACCCTAAACCCTAAACCCTAAGGGTCTTCTTGTTTTCGGATTTTCGGGGGGGGGGGGGGGGGGCTCTAGGAGGCGTAAGGCTTCTTGCAAGGCCGTTCTGCCCTTGTAAGGAAGAGTCTTTTTCATGTGTTGAGGGGGTTTAGGGTTTAGGGTTTAGGGTTTAGGGTTTAGGGTTTAGGGTTAAGGGTTAAGCAAGTCGTGGCTAGGAATCTCCCCCGTCACGGCGGCCGCAGAGTCGAAGCTCGACTTTGGGGGGGTTCTTGAAGGCACTCTTCTCAAAGCAACCGTGGCGGCCATCCCCGATGTCTACTATCTGCTTCAGAACCCCCCCCCCCAAAAAAAAAAAAAAAAAAACTTACAAGGGCAACATGGGGATTGTTTTTCTCGATGTTTTCTTACAAGGGCGACATGGGGAATATTTGTTCTTCATGCTTTGGGTGGTTCTTCGGCAAATAGTAGATGTCGAGTGCCCTGTGCTCTCCTCCTGCGCGCTGCTCGCTGGTATCGCCGGAAGGCGATCGAAGCTTAGATCGCCATTCCCGTCAGGGGTTTAGGGGTTTAGGGGTTTAGGGGTTTAGGGGTTTAGGGTTTAGGGCTAGGGTTTAGGGCTAGGGTTTGGGGTGAGGGTTTAAGCTTCAGGGCCCTCTGCCTGTCGAACCGCCAGCAGGCCATCCTTGTTGTTGCCCTGGAACTTCACGCGCCCGGAGACCTCAAAGGGCACCAGAGGGCTCCAACGGTCTGACCCTAAACCCTAAACCCTAAACCCTAAACCCTAAACCCTAAACCCTAAACCCTAGACCCTAGACCCTAGACCCTGAACCCGAACCCTAAACCGGCCTAAACCCTTTAGGCTTCAGGGGCAAAAGAAGAAAACCTTTCGTTGTTGTTTGCCTGCTTGATGGGGCTACATGAAAGGAAGCTACGCCTAAAACAAACACGGTGCACTTGGAGGTTCAGGGTACTTATAACCCCAAGTACAACCGTACTGACAAGCCCCCTAAGTCCTTCAAGTAGGTTAAAATGTAATTAAACTTCTAGCCAGTAGTTGCTCCAAAACAATAAAACAAAAAAATGGACTGCCTTTGTAAGGTTAATATAGGGAATATTATTCTTTACTCTGTTGGGGTTCTTAAGCAAACAGTAGACATTGGGGCTATTTGTACCCATGAACCTCCTAAGTAGCTCCGAGAACTGGTCACCGTCCATTCACAGGGTCTTATGCCTTGCACACGGCCAGGCCATATTAATATTATTACCATTCTTATTATCATTACTATTACTTTTATCATTGTGAATATTATGGTTATCATTATTGATGATGATTGTTACTATTCTTCTCCTTATGATTGTTATGATGATCATTACAGTATTCCTACTATTCACCGGCTTATATAGGGGCTATGAAGACTACTGCGGCAGTAAGGCGCTGAACTACAAGGCCGCAAAGCTTGACGTACGCGAGCGGACGCCGGCTGCTAGGGCCGGCTCAAGAACAGAGATGGTTTAGGGTTTAGGGTTTCGGGTTTAGGGTTTAGGTTTCAGAAGACATGAGGCCTGATATGGGCAGATGGAGGAGACCTGCACCGGTGCAGATGGGCAGAAGGAGGAGGCCTGTACTAGGCCAAGCGCGTGTGGGCAAGCGCGTGTGGGCAAGCTAGTCTTCAGTGCCCGGTCGGGCAAGGACTTCGGCGGCACCGACCTAGCCCACCGAGATGACGGGAGACACGGTTGAGTCTGGGTTTACGATTCGGGCAGAGATACAGAGAAGTGTACTACTATACAAGGAAGGGAGTCCCCTTTTCGTCACCTCCAGTGGTGGAGCCCTAGATGGGAGCTGGACTTCGGCGCCTGAAGTCGCAATGTTCCCCCAAACTGTGCCTGTATTTCGGCCTGGCAGCCTATTTATAACTCGGCTCACGGGAGCCTGGGTTTAGGGTTTAGGGTTTAGGGTTTAGGGTTTAGGGTTTAGGGTTTAGGGTTTAGGGTTTAGGGTTTAGGGTTTAGGGAATGCCCCTGCCTCTGATGCCGAATTCGGCGCTCAGATTTGAGGAAAGCTCAGGCCATAGATCTGGCTCTGGTCTGGCTCCCTCCAGTCCGCGCTGGCGCGTAAATCCTCGCTCAAATTCCCTGAAGCCTGAATTCCCCCAGCCCTGTAACCCTGTACCTGACTTTACGCAACGGTCCTGAAGCCTCATTTCCCGATTTTCGTCAGTCGGTCGTGCTCGGGTAGGGCCGAAATTACCTTTTCTGGACCTGGTCTTGTCTTTGCATAGCATGCTTGGGAATGTGTTGTGACGTATTTCGTCTTCGGAGCGCAACTTCGTCTTCAGTGTTTTGTGAGATCGAACTTCGTTTTAGCCCTAAACCCTCAACCATAAACCCCTAATCCCTAAACCCAGAGCCCTCAGCCCGAATCCCTTCTTAGGGTTCAGGGTTTAGGGCTCAGGGAGGGTTTTAGGGTTTAGGGCTTCAGGGCTCGGGTTTAGGGTTTAGGGGTTTTGGGCGCAGGGTTTATGGCTTAGAGGTAACCCACTAAGGGACTTTGAGCCCTAGAGGAACCCTTGTCTCAAGGGCCTTAGAAACCCCGATCCTCCAAAGCAAACTAAACCCTAAACCCTAAACCCTAAGCCCTAAGCCCTAAACCCAAAAAACACCTAAACCCTAAACCCTAAACCCTAAACCCCAAACCCTAAACCCTAAACCCTAAACCCTAAACCCTATATAAACCCTAAACCCTAAACCCTACATAAACCCTAAGCCCTAAGCCCTAAGCCCTAAACCCTAAACCCTAAACCCTAAACCCTAAACCCTAAACCCTAAACCCCCTGCAACGACCGAGAGCCACGAAATCCGACCGAGCGACGCCCTGGAAATCCAGCTCCGTCCGCATGAAGTTGCTCAGTCTCTCCTTCTGCTGCCGTTAGGGTTTAGGGTTTAGGGTTTAGGGTTTAGGGTTTAGGGTTTAGGGTTTAGGGTTTAGGGTTTAGGGTTTAGGGTTTAGGGTTTAGGGTTTAGGGTTTAGGGGTCTAGGGTTCAGACAAGGGGTTCCAGTATACATGCACTTACAATGCTCTCATTTGCTGGCCATTTCTTAGCAGAGTAGGGAATGAGGTACCCTACATCCCCCTATAGTAAGCGTAGGGGCCCCACGTGGCCCAGTTCAGTGCCTCATAACCCCCATTTCTCAACAACCTAAGAATCAAGAGCCTCAGTTCTCCCCAACCCATCCAACCCCCCGAAAAGCTGGCCGAGCCTCTACTAGACCCCAGGAGTAAACGACCAGTAGGAATGCAAAGGGTGCCCTTTTTGGTTTACAGGGGCCCTGATAAGGGAGCCTAAACCCACCGAAAAAGGAAATGAGGACTACTCTGGGTCCTAGTAGCCCTAAACCCCGAACCCTAGAAAAGGGGGAATGCTAGTCTAAGGTTTAGGGCTCAAGGATTAGGGCAAGTTTAGGGTTTAGGGCTCGGAAATAACCGCGGCGCCTGGATCACCCCGAGCCCTAGCCAGCTACTTGTGAGAAATATACAAATAGAAAAAAAAAAAATATATATATATATATATATGTATACACACACATATACTTGCATTAGTATATGTGCATGTGTAGAATATGATATAAAAATGTATATACACACACACATATATATATATATATGTATTTATTTATTTATTATATTCATATCTAAATAATATAGGCTAAACCCTCTCATGAACCTGCTGTTCCTGTGATCTTCCTGGCTTTTTTTCTATATTGAAGACGGACTTGATGAAAACCGGACTGATTCCCAGCCTAATGGCCGTTGGAACGCATAACAATGACTACATTGGGACCCTAACTCAAATCTATCGTTTCTCGCTTGTTCTTTGAAGTCGGCTTGGATATTCATTGTCCTTCGTTGTCTTACTTTTGGTCTGAAAAATACACCGACGAGGACAGTATACTTCACTTGCAAACATGGCACGGCTTGGTCTTTGTCCGGGTTTTAGGGTTTAGGGTTTCTTAAGCACTACAACAATGATCTCGCCCAGCAGACATCTACGCGCATCTAACACATCGAGCCATGTCTGTTTCGAGACAGGCAACCTGTTTTGGAACATGATCCACCTAGGCATTGAACCAAGTATTAGGTGCAACTACGAACCCATTAAGCTAAAACATCAAGTTTCTACCTACGAATTGGATAGGTGCCCGTGCAACCACAGGTTTCAGCATATAGAGGTGGCCTACGTGCCGATTAGTACCTTAAGCCACTGAAACCAATAAGTTCCGCAGTCAGGCCGTCGAAGCCTCTAAGTGCCAGTAAAAACGAACCAGTCACTTCTGCGCATGCAGTCGTGCTCCCTAAGCCGTTAACCGCTAAAGCATTGAACAGCTGAATCATGAAACTGTTAAACCGTTCAGCCATTAGATAAGCCAGCAAACCAGTCTTACCCCCCTTTTCCCTCATGGCCACGAGACCATTTTTGAATACCGGTTTTTGCGTATTCTAGACGCAAGAGTAACCTAGGAATGAATCAAAGGGTGCCCTTTTTGGTTTTGAGGGGCTTCTACAAGGGAACCCGAGAAGGGAATATGGGCCTACTCTGGGTGCTAGTATTTTTTTCCAAAATCTCATTCAGAATCAGGGTCAGATGATTCAGGATCGAAGAAGGTTCCTCGTAAATCTTTTCCTGGGAACGTTGAATCTTCAATCCAGAGATTGTTGAATGCACACTTGGATATTTCAGGGTCTATGGCACGACAAAACTCATAGTTCCAAACCCTACTTCCCCCCCCCCCCCGGAAAAAAAGGCTGAACCATTTGTGAGGTAAGACCTTTAAGCTAGAGCCTGATCCTCAAACCCTATACTCGAAATCCTCAACCCTAAACCCTAAACCCCAAACCCTACAACCCTAAACCCCAAACCCCAAACCCTAAACCCTAAACCCTCAGACCTCCTCAAAACCAGGAGCTGACCGAGCAAAGCGGCATAGACTTCTTGGCTGGGCTCCTGTACCTCGCTGCAGGCTTGGAGGCTTAGGGTTAGGGGGTTAGGGGTTTAGGGGTTTGGGGTTTAGGGGTTTAGGGTTCGGGGTTTAGCGGTCAGAATGCGGGTGTCTAAGCCTTGCCGTTCCCTGCACGGCCTTCGCTAATCATAGAGAAGACGAAGTGTTTTCACTGCCTGTATCCCCAACAGCACATTCCATACGTACACTCAACGAAACCAGGAACCTGCAAATCCTAAGCCCTAAACCCTAACCCCTAAACCCTAATTCCTAAACCCTAAACCCTAAACCCTAGGTCAACATCCTGGATTCTTTGGAGTGATTGCATGTAGGCCGTATAAGACATAAGCCGGCGTGACTCTGCGGGTGTTCGGTCTGGACATCGGCTTGGCTTGGGATTATAGATTCTGGCTGAAGCATCGTGACGCTCGTCTGGTGAGAAAGGTTCGGGTTTAGGGTTTAGGGCGAGGGTCTTGATCTGGGCTGGGCACAGCGCCTCTAGAGGAATGACGATGTTTCATGCACCTTGCGTAGGCGACCGAGTGCTGTCAACGTGTTTCCGCGAGGTAGAAGTCGCAGGCTAGTGCAGGGATCAGGGCCCCTTGGCCCTAAAGCCCCTATATCTCTGAACTCTAAAGCCTTACTGGCCCAAAACCCAAAGAAATACAAGTTGAAACTTTCAGAATAAACTACCTTATAAGAAGCCCAAAAGTTGAAAAGTTGGGTTTTGAGCCAGTAAGAAGCCTTAAACCCTCCTAAACCTCCTAACCATTCTAAACCTGAACCCTAAACCCAAACCCTAAACTTAACAAAGCCTAAAGCCTAAACCCTAAACCCCGCACACAGGTCTTCAACCGGCCTGTTGGACCGTGTAGCCTCCTAACCCTAACCCCTAACCCCATAACCCCTAAACCCTAAACCCTAAACCCTAAACCCTAAACCCTAAACCCTAAACCCTAAACCCTAAACCTAAACCCTAAACCCTAAACCCTAAACCACCGGCCTGTTGGACCGTGTAGCCTTGCTGTAGCAAGTTCTGGATGGCAAAGGCTATGGCGCACGCCTTGAGGTGATAGGGCTGTTGAAGGTTAGGGTTTAGGGTTTAGGGTTTAGGGTTTAGGGTTTAGGGTTTAGGGTTTAGGGTTTAGGGTTTAGGGTTTAGGGTTCTAGGGTTTAGGGTTTAGGGTTTAGGGTTTAGGGTTTAGGGTTTAGGGTGTAGGGTGTAGGGTGTAGGGCTTAGGGTTTAGGGTTTAGGGTTTAGGGTTTAGGGTGTAGGGTTCTTGAACGGTTTAAAGGCTTTAGGGTGCACCTGATTACTCTCACTGTAGTTCCTTTTGGGGTCCGTTGTGGCTTTTCCAGTAAGTCTTCTTTGATGATTATACTATAATAACCTCCAAAAAACCTATTCTAATGATTAAGGTGCATTTCTATTCAGTACTACTATTTCTATTCCTGCGAATCCGTGCTCATGGCCCCTACTACTTTTTATTGTTGCTTTGCTCTTCCTGATATTATGTTTACATCTGATGACCCGCACATAAAGCTCAATACGGCTAGCAATGTGGCTCTAACTTAGGGCAATCCTTGTTGGGGGTTCTTAGCACGCCGGATTTCAGCGGGGCATGCTGGTGTATTCGTGGAACCCTATTTGGTGGAAATCTGTAGGGTTGTGGGTTCAAGCAACATGGAGATCAGCCCCCCGCCCCCCCCCCCCCCCCCCCCCCCCCCCCCACACCCCCCGCAATCTCAGAGCCTACTCGCTAGGGTTCAGGGTTCACGCTTCAGGGTTCGGGTTTAGGGCCCCAAGCTACCCGAAATCCGCACCAGCAAGGGGCAGTTCGCAACTGTGGCACGGCTCCGCTTCTTTAGACAAGCCCCTAAACCCCTGAGCTGCTTTTGCTCGCACCCTGGACCCTAAATCCTAAACCCTGAACCCGAAACACCCCTTGAGCTTGGTGTCCCCATCCACGGCTTGGGCCGCGATCTCATAGTAAGGATGCGGCACCTGGCTGAGAGGAGTTCGTGCCAGCTTCTGCGACACGCAGGATCTTGGGTTTGGGGCTTTAAGGTCAGGGTTTAGGGGTTTAGGGGTTTAGGGGTTTAGGGGTTTAGGGGTTTAGGGGTTTAGGGGTTTAGGGGTTTAGGGGTTTAGGGGTTTAGGGGTTGAGGGGTTTTGGGGGTTTTGGGGGTTTAGGGGTTTAGGGGCTTTGGGGTGTGGGGTTTAGGGGTTTAAGTTTTTAGGGGGTTTTGGGGGAGTCCCGTCAGAGAAACCCTAAACCCTGAACCCTAAACCCCAAAACCCTAAACCCTGAACCCCAAAATCCTAAACCCCCAAACCCTAAACCCTGAACCCTAAACCCTAAAACCCTAAACCCCACAACCCTCGGCCGGCCTGAGTCGAAAGGTCCCCGGCTGGGTATCCGAGCTCGAAGTGCCGGTGGATCAGCGACATGAAGCTCACAGGGCTGTAGCCTGGAGTTTAGGGTTTAGGGTTTAGGGTTTAGGGTTTAGGGGTTTAGGGTTTAGGGTTTAGGGTTTAGGGTTTAGGGTTTAGGGTTTAGGGTTTAGGGTTTAGGGTTTCGGTTTGGGGTTTAGGGTTTAGGGTTTGGGGTTTAGGGTTTAGGGTTTACTTGGAGGTTCAAAGGTACGTATAACCCCCATGATAGCTGTACTGTTAAGCCCCCTCAGTCCCCTCAGTAGGCTATAAGCACAATTACCATTGGGGGGTTTAGTTTAGGAGAGAAGCCAGAGTCTGCGACCTCAGCCCTAAACCCTAAACCCTAAACCCTAAACCCTAAGCACTGTAGGGCTTAGGGCTTAGGGCTTAGGGCTGAGGGTTTAGGGTTTAGGGTTTAGGGTTTGGGGTTTAGGGTTTAGGGTTTAGGGGCCCCCCAAACCCTCAGAACCCTCAACCCGCATCCCGCACCACCCCTTTGGAGCGCCTTTGAAGCACGGAAGCGGCTTCTCCGCAGTCTCCGCTGTCGGCTCGCCCAGCGCGCCAACCTCACTACATTTCGGGCTTGGGGTTTGGGCTTTGGGGTTTGGGGTTTAGGGTTTAGGGTTTAGGGTTCAGGGTTTAGGGGGTTTAGGGGGGTTTAGGGGTTCGGGGTCTGGGATTCAGGTTGATTTCTTCATTGGTAGGTTGTTGGGAGTCGAGGGGCTTGTGCATCTTCCGATTCAGTGCCTTTTGTGATGGCAGGGGTAACAACCCTACGTAAGAACGTAGCTCCAACTCAAAAATTTTCGAACCTCCAAGCAACGCAAGTTCGGCACTCAGGCCCAGAAGGCCACTTCAAGGCTATGGTTTTTTTCTCGTAGAGTTTATCCGCCGAGGCCTCGGGCCGAAGGTGTATAGGTTGTCAGAACAGGCACCCCCCTCCAAATCCTCCCCCCAAGCCCAAAGGCCCCCTTTTTTTGCTTCAAATGGGTACCCCCCCTAGGAGAGGAGGGTCCGCAAGCGGATGTCTCGCCAGGACCAGAGGCAGTTGCAGCCCATCCCAGCAGGGCGCCCCCCGTTTTTCGCTTCCCAAACCCCCTGCCCTCCCCCCCTACCCCCCCCCTACCCCCCCCCCCCCTACCCCCCCCGCCCTACCCCCCCCCCCGACCCCCCCCCCCCACCCCCCCCCCCTACCCCCCCCCCCCACCCCCCCCCCCTACCCCCCCCCCCCTACCCCCCCCCCCCTACCCCCCCGCCGACCCCCCCCCCAACCCCCCACCACACCATAGGCAGTTCAAGCCCACTTCCCCCCCCCCACCCAACCCCCCCCCCCCCCTACCCCCCCCCCACCCCCACCCCCCCCCCACCCCCCCCCACCCCCCCCGCACCCCCCCCCCCCCCCCACCCCCCCACCCCCCCCCCCCCCCCACCCCCCCCCTCCCCCACCCCCACCCCACCTCCCCCCACCCCACCTCCCCCCTCCCCCCCACCCTGCCGAAGAGTCGCCTTAAACCTTAAGGGGCCTGGCTCAACCCTACGATCACTCCAAGCCGAACCCTAAACCCAAAAAAACCCTCAACCCCAAAGCGTGAACCTTGAGCCCTAAACTAACCCTCAACCCCAAACCCCAAACCATAAACCATAAACCCGGAACCCTCAACCCTCAACCCTCAACCCAACCCTTATTGCTTGGGGTCCAGCGACTTGGGCGCTGCGGAATCACCATGCTCACGCGGATGCGCTGGGCCGGGCCGAGGCGGGTCGCGTAGCGTTAAAATTAAGGTGTAGGGGTGTAGGGTAGGGTAAGGGCCCCCCCTTAACCCTAAACCCTAAACCCTAAACAGTAAAGCCTGGACCCCCCCCCCCCTCCTCCTCAAAATCCTTGCAATACATCCTTCGAGTGCTGGGTCCCCAGCATTGATGGAGCCCTCGAAGGCCTGTGTGAGGGCCTCGAAGGAACCTCGGGCAAGCTTCGGGCTCTAGGGTTTAGGGTTTAGGGTTTAGCGTTTAGGATTCAGGGTTTTCTGGTTAGTGAGAATTGTTTTGGGCAGGGGCGGGGGCCTTCTTTGAAGACCCCCCCCCCAGTCGCCATATTCTACCAAGGCTACCTTGAACCCCCCACCAAGGTCCCTAAACGCTAAACCCTAAACCCTAAACCCTAAATCCTAAACCCTAAACTCCTAAACCCCTAAACCCCTAAACCCTAAACCCTAAACCCTAAACCCTAAACCGAACCAACCCAGAGTCCCACTCTCCTAGCCCCTCAGCTGAACTTTTTGGACTTTCTGATCAAGCTTTCGCGCGCGGTCCCCAAACCTACGAAATCATCTGCTAGGCTGCCCAGTAACCTAGGCTCAAAAAGGGTGCCCTTTTTTGCTTAAAGGGGTTTATAAGGGAACCTGAAGCCCCCAAAAAGGGAATAAGGGCACTACTGGGCATCCTGGTCTGCCCTATCATACACCATAAGCCCTGCAACAAAACCGATCCCCCAAAAAGCCCCCGAAACTCTCTTCCGGGAGATGTTCTGGGGGTTGGGCCCTCTGCAAGAGTAACTTCTATGGGCATCTATGAGGTTGCATAGGGACGAAGGCCCCAAAGAACTTCGATGTTCATTGCAAGTCAACCTCCGTATGGTCTGGCTAGAGCACTGGGTTTAGGGTTTAGGGCTTAGGGTTTAGGTTTTAGGGTTTAGGGAAATTTCTGCCACCCCCCTCGCCCTCCGACCAGCAAACAAACATACATGTTTCAAGCCGCTCATTGCCAAGAGTCAGAACACGCGCAATGCTCTCATGAAGAATCCAACTCGGCAAAATTGGCATACACAACAGAGCAGCAGCCCGCAAATACGGAAGTGAGCAGCAAAGCAAAACACATCATGTCGATCAACACCGGACATCCCCACATCCACGATACCTCTCCCCAAAAACCGCGAACCCTCATCCTAAACTCTAAACCCTAAACCCCAACACCCCCCCCCCCCCCCCCCCAACAAAAAAAAAAAAAAAAAAAACAAGCCCAAAACCCTAAACCTCGAACCCCAACACGAAACCCTTACCCAGCTGTTGGTTCGGGCCACACGCTGGGTGAATCTCATCGATCGAGCGCTCGTACTCGGGAGGGAGCTGAATCGAGTAGATCCCGATGAGGACGCCGTCCTCTCCAGGCTTGCCAAGGGAGCGTTTGGCGCCGGAGTTTGGGTTGAGGAATGTGTTGCATGAGGCTGAATTCGTGGGATTACTTGCTGCTCCTAGCTGAGGCTAGCTGAAGCTGCCTCAAGGTATGCACCATAGGGTAAGCCATCAGCTCGATTCAGGGATGTTTGCGTATAGGCTCGACTATATGAGGTAGGGTTTATATTTCTTGTACCCCCAAATGGACACCAAATACATACACTCAGCAATATTAAAAAGGAACCTTATATACACCCACCAAACACAGAAATGTATACCCTACTTCAAATATGAAGTTCTTAGGATTCCACAGGGGCGGGTGTAGGGTTTAGGGGTCGAGGACTCCAAAGGGTTCCGCATACGCGAACCTGACCCCTAAACCCTCAACCCTCAACCCTCAACCCTCAACCCTAAACCCTAAACCCTAAACCCTAAACCGAAGTGCTCTACTGGCCATCCTCAACGGGTTTTGCGGGTTTTGGGGTTTGGCGGCTTGGAATCATAGGCTGCCCAGTAACCTAGGCTTTAAAAAGGGTGCCCTTTTTTGCTTAAAGGGGTTGATACGGGAACCTAAACCCCCAAAAAAAGGGAATAAGGCACGACTGGGTATCCTAGAATCTAGGGGTTTAAGCTCTTTTTTTTTGCAGGGGGTTTAAAGGCTTCTGGGCTTGCAGGGCTTCAGGTCGCGAGACCCTATATAAAGACTAGGTTTTGAGGGTTCGGATGGGGGGGGGCCGCGGGGGACCTAGACCCTTCCTAGGGGTCTGCTCAGTCCAAACTTGGGAGACGTGAAGCTTGGAGCCAGAATCTCTTCTCAAGGCAATTGTATTTCGGGCCCCTATAGCTATTCGGGTTTAGGGTTTAGGGTTTAGGGTTTAGGGTTTAGGGTTTAGGGTTTAGGGTTTAGGGTTTAGGGTTTAGGGTTATACTCTTGGGTCTGGGGATATCTTTTGCGAAATATAAGGGCTACGGTAGGAGTACATCTTTTGGGTTGCAGCCTTCCAAACCCTCAGCCCAAAACCTCAACCCCATGTTGGAGTAGGGTTTAGGGTTTAGGGTTTAGGGTTTAGGGTTTAGGGTTTAGGGTTTAGGGTTTAGGGTTTAGGGTTTAGGGTTTAGGGTTTAGGGTTTAGGGTTTAGGGTTTAGGGTTTAGGGTTTAGGGTTTAGGGTTTAGGGTCTAGACCCTGGAAAAAAGTATATGCTTGTTTAGGTAGAAGCTGCTAGAATAGGAACCCAGAACCCAAAAAGTGTTAAAGCATAGTCCTCCAAAAAGAACCCGGCTAAGCTCCTCGTCGCGCAGGCCCGTCGCGAAGAAGGCCGCCGGGGCGTCCGCACTGGGACCGTACGGCTTCCAGTCGACGTAGCTGATGTTGTCCTTGGGCTTTTGGGTCTAAGGTTTAGGGTTTAAACCGTACAATACAGGGTTTAGGGTTTAGGGTTTAATGTTTACCCTTAAGGGTCCATGTACCTAAATTGGGAAGACTGTCCTTAAAGCACTTCCTAAGTAGGGACTTGTTAGGCCCCAGCATGTAAGAATGAGGTGCATGGACCCATTCGCAGGAGCTTGGTGAGGAGTGCGTCACGCTTTGCACTTCTGGCACTTCGCTGCTTGCCACGCTCCTTCTGGATCTGCTTCAGAAACCCTAAACCCCCAAACCCTAAACCCTTGTGAGTTAAGTTTGTCGGATGTACCGAACCCTAAACCCTAAACCCTAAACCCTGAACCCTGAACCCTAAACCCTAAACTCTGAACCCGAAACCCTAAACCCTGAACCCTGAACCCTAAACCCTAAACCCTAAACTCTAAGCCCTCTCAGGGCTTCCAACCGTCAACGAGAGACTAAGGAAAAGCTACCCACTCTCAACTCAGCGGGCCCGAGAATAGCGCCTTTAGGGTTTAGGGTTTAGGGTTTAGGGTTTGGGGTTACTGACCAGGAGAAACCATAGCCCTTATAACCCTAAGCCCTAAACCCTGTGGATTAGGGGGTCTTCCTAGCAGTTCTCACACGGTCTTGTCAATGTAGCTAGGCCGTGGAGTGCTGATGCCCGAGTCCTTCATGCCTACTGGGGTTGGCGCTAGCAACCAGAAAGCCTTGCGCCAAAAGACTCCTTACTATGATCCTCGTCCTAGACCCTAAACCCTGTACCCTCTTAGCATGATTTGTGAAGATGGTTCTCTTGAACACCTTAAGACCCAAATCCTACGCCCAAAGTCCTGGACCACAGACCCTACCACCGAAAGCCCAACCCCTGAATCCACAAATTCTCGCGACTTCAAGCCTGAACCGTAGAGCTCCTAACGAGGGCCCTTAACCAGGGCTTGGGGTTTAGGGTTTGGGGTTTAGGGTAGCAACTGAAATCCTGAGCCTATCAACCCCAAGCCCGGGTACTCAAGCAAGCACCCTTGACTAAGTCAAGTGAGTACCTGTACGGGAACCTAATATTCCAGTGTAGGCTGCCCAGAAGCATTTTGCACCTAAACCCTAAACCCTATACCCCAAGCCCTAAACCCGAATAGGGTTGAATGGTTCCCTAAACCCTAAACCCTAAACCCTAAACCCTAAACCCTAAACCCTAAACCCTAAACCCTAAACCCTAAACCCAAATCTCAAACACCCAAATCAATCTAGCGCTCCTGGGCTTGCGACACCCTAAGCCCTAAACCCCACACTTAAACCCAGTGGCGGGCGCTGCCAGAGCGAGCCGGAACGCCTCGAGGTGGGGGGAGGGCAACTGGCTTTTGGGCTTGAGGGTTTGGGGTTTTGGGGTTTAGGATTGAGGGTTTGGGGTTTGGGGCTCTGCAGATTTCGGGAAAAGTTGCGCGGAGCCTTCTAAGCCGGAAGGGCTAGAAGTTAGGGGCAAAACCAGTTCTACTTCGAGCTTGCTCTACTTCAAGCCCTGCTTACCACTACCCATGTAAACCTCTGAGTTGGTTCCCCAATAGCCCTAGGGTTCAAGTTGGGTTTAGGGTTTATTAGGGTTTAGGGTTTAGGGTTTAGGGTTTAGGGCTTAGGGCTTAGGGTTGAGCTTAGGGTTTCAGAAGTAACCATGGCAACAAGGCCGGCGACGCAGGTTCCTCGTGCTCAATAAACCCTAAACCCTGCACCTGCCCAACCGCAAAACCTCAAAAACCCCAAACCTCAAACCCCAAGCCCCAAACTTCAAACCCCAAACCTCAAACCCCAAACCCCAAACCCTAAACCCCAAACCCCCACCCGCCTCGCCCAGTCCCGAATCCTTCCATGGGCCGTTGCCATCAAGCATGAAGTTGGTTGCGTAGTCCGTCTCCTTGAAGACCGAATAGATGAGGTCACCTCAGGCTGCAGGATAGGGTTTCGGGTTTCGGGTTTCGGGTTTCGGGTTTCGGGTCTAGGGTTTAGGGTCTACTAGGGTTTAGGGTTCAGGGTTTAGGCCAGGCTTTGCAGGGTTTGGGGCTCAGCGGGTGCCCTGAGGGTTTGGAGGTTGTAGGGTGGGTTGGTTCACAGCGAACTGGCTCTAGTGAGTCTTCTTCCTCCCCCCCTGGCCCAACAAGCCCTCAGTCCAAAATGCCCAAAAGGGTTTAGGGTTTAGGGTTTAGGGTTTAGGGTTTAGGGTTTAGGGTTTAGGGTTTAGGGTTCAGGGTTTAGTGAGCGTCTCGAAGAAGGAAGCAACCACATCTCCTACAGGACTCAGATTTGTCAGGGGCTTGGAAGAATGAGGTGCGAAAGGTGTGTCCTGGTAACGTGTGCAATTCTCGACTCAAGCCATCCCTAGACCCTAAACCCTAAACCCCAAACCTGAAACCTAAACCCAACCAACACATGTGCAGGAAAGAACGCAGAGATAGGATCTGGCCAAGGCTTCAGAGCTAGAGTTTCGGGTCTAGGGTTTAGGGTTTCGGGCCCTAAGCCCCAACCCCCAAACCCTGTCAACCCCTGGGGTGCAGAGGCTTCTGGAGGGGACATTGCCAAGACAGGACGCCGTTGAGGTCGAACATGAAGATGTCGTAGTAACCTGCAGATTGGCCCTAAACCCTGAACCCCAAACCCGAAACCCGAAACCCTAGACCTTTGGGATTTGGAAGGGCGGCCGTTTGGGTGTGGTCGGGTTCAATTAGGGGTTTTAGGGTTTAAGTTTTGGAGGGTGTAGGGCTTAGGGACTGCATCAAGGTATGCCGAAGGTGGTTACACATTGATAGCACCCCAGGCTGCCCAGTAACCTAGGCTTAAAAAGGGTGCCCTTTTTTGTTTAAAGGGTTTATAAGGGGACCTAAACCCCCCCCAAAAGGGAAAAAGGGTACTACTATGCATCCTAGCACCAGTGAGACGGCGCTTTATGACGAAGAACTGCGAGCCACCACCCTCCCTCACCCCTTCCCCCCGCCCGCAACTCAAAGCTTCAGAACTTCTTGGAAGGCGGAGGGTGAGTTCAGTTGCAAAATTTAGGGTTTAGGGTTTAAGGTTTAGGGTTCAACCCTGACCCTAAACCCTTAACCCTAAACCCAGCCAAGGCCTCGGTCGTACAAGGTGGTGCGGTAGGCTGGATGCCAATCCTCCGGTTTATATAGGGTTTAGGGTCTAGGGTCTAGGGTTTAGGGTTTAGGGTTAAGCAACCGTTTAGGGGTTCCTGGGTTGGGGGTGTTTTCGGAAATTGTAGAATATGAAGTGGGGTGTTTATGGTGGATACGCAACAGGACACCCATATCTACACTCACCAAAACTTGTGAGGAACCCTACATACACTAAAGAGAGAAACCCTACACCCTAAACCATAAAACTAAACCCTGAACCCTGAACCCTGAACCCTAAACCCTAAACCCTCAACCCTAAACCCTAAAACTAAACCCTGAACCCTATATAACCCAAGGGCCCAGACTTCAAAACGCAGAAAAGAGGTTAGGGTTTAGGGTTTAGGGTTCGTCTTGATGCCTGTCGGCCTGATCTGTCCAGTCAGACCGACGCCATCGGCTCCGCAGTAAATTGACACGCCGGCGTCCCGGAGGATCGCCAACTCAACTTCCACCACAGCGGTGGATCCGCGTCTGAAACCGCGACGGCCATCTTCCCACTGGCGTGGGCACGCGCCAAGGACGTAGTGCACCGCGACCGGGCACCAGACCGTCCGTGAAGATGCCGTCCAGGCAGTGCTGGGACCGTGCGTGGCTATCAGGCCATTTACAGCGGCTTCGGACAAGCCCGCCATCATGTAGGAGATGGGGTGTCCTGAATTTTCGCTGTGGCCTTGAAAGGCTCGAGGCCAGCCTTCGGGCACCCGGGACTGGTCGAGCCGCGGTTTAGGGTTTAGGGTTTAGGGTTTACGGTTTAGGGCTGAGGATTCATAGTGGATGCGGCTCCTTTTATGGTGTTTAGGGTTCTGGTGTTTCAGAGATTAGGGTTTGGGGGGCTTCTGGGTTGGGATGTTCTCCCTTTATACGAACAGGCCTCAGTAGGGCCCCATTATAATCCCTACTAAGAACTGCTAGTATAAGGGGATAAGGGGGAAGATCCCAAGTTGTGGGGTTTAGGGGCTTGACTGTTTAAGGGATTGGGGTTCGGGCTTTGGGTTTAGGGGTCTAAGGGACTGGGACTTCCAAATGCGCCCTAAACCCCAAGCGCCCGAAAACGCCAAAAACACCCTTATAAAACCCACAGCCTACACACCAAAAACAGTCTAACACCCCCAGAAAACCCCAAACCCCTGAATCCCCGGGTACACCGTGAACCCCATGCAAAACACGCAAATTACCACTAAACGCCTGCAACCCTAAAACCCTAAAACCCTAAAACCCTAAAACCCTAAAACCCTAAAACCCTAAAACCCTAAAACTCCAGAACCCTGCAACCCTAAAAAGAGTCAAACAAAGCCTGAGCAAGCCTCAAAATCACAACAAAAGCCAAAAACCACCAACAAAAAAGACACGAGACTAATAAACCCGAAGATTTCAGCCTGAAACCCTAAACCCTAAACCCTAAACCCTGAACCCTGAACCCTAAACCCTAAACCCTCAACCCTCATCTCACAACTTCTGACGCTTCGCCTGGTGCACTGCATGGTACCTTGCCGGACCCTCGGCGAAGTCGAGGGTGTCCTGAAGGTTCAGGGTTTAGGGTTCAGGGTTTAGGGTTTAGGGTTTAGGGTTTAGGGTCTAGGGTCAGGGCTCAGGGTTCAGGTTAGGGTTTCGGGTTTAGGGTTTAGGGTCTAGCGTTTCGTTCTTGCCCTTTACAGTTTAAGGCCTAGGGCTTCGGTTTCAGGGCTTGGGGGCTTTTTGGGCTTTAGGAGTTGCAAGGGTTCGGGCTCAGGGTTGATAGGGTTTAGGGTTTCGAATCCAGCTTAGGTGTGTGGGGTGGATGCATCCAAGGCGTTGGGGCGATTATAGGGGTTTTAGGGTTTGGGGTTTAGGGTTTAGGGTTTAGGGTTTAAGGTTTAAGGCTTAAGGTTTAGGGTTTGGGCAAGGGGGGGGGAGGCGGTGGGAAGAGTTTTCTAAACCCTGACCCCCAAAGGCCTAATTCCCTCCACCCACCCTCCTTAAGCTCCGCGGCTTCGGGATGCAGAGGGGGTTAGAAAACTCTTCCCCCCCCCCCTATATAAACCCTAAACCCCAACCCTAAGCCCTAACCCTAAGCCCTAAGCCCTCAACCCTAAACCCTAAACCCTAAACACTAAACCCTAAACCCTAAACATAAAAACCCTCATCAACCCTTGGGCTCTAAAAAATTGCCCAAAAACCTGTTGTTTATCCCAAGGCCTTCGGGCCCAAAAAACCTCACAATGAGAGGCTTTGGAGCCATTTTTTTGGTAGCCCAGTCTTCATATTTCGGGTTTAGGGTTTAGGGTTTAGGGTTTAGGGTTGGGGGATTTGTTACTTCTTGGGAACCCAACGCAGAACCCTCAAAAAGGGCAAACTAGACCAAACCGTAACCTGGGGTTAAACAGGGTACCCTTTTTGGTTTCAAGGGGAATTTACCTTTCGAGCTTGCGGTCAGCATCTTGGTACACTGGGGATACCTACCGGTTTAGGGTTAAGGGTTTAGGGTTTAGGGTTTAGGGTTTAGGGTTTTAGGGTTTAGGGTTTAGGGTTTAGGGTCTAGGGTCTAGGGTGGTTTCGGATTTAGGGTTCGGGGTGAGGGGGATTGGCAAGCATCATGAAGCTGATGAAAGTCGCTAAACACGTAGTAAGTCCCTTGGCTGCACTCAGGAGGGTAGCTATAAATTTAATTTTTAGCTGCCTTCTTAAGAAACCCAATAAGCCCAAAAAGGCTAGAGATGTAAAGTTACAGTAAAGCACCACAAAGGTCCCATGCGGCTCAAGTAAACCTTCAACCCGAGGGAACATTTCGGTTCTCTTCGGGTAGTTGTGGCTCATGGTCAATCCTAACCTACACCCTAGCCCCTAGACCCCCAACTCCCCCACCTGCGTGTTTGGTTCTCGGGTTCGGGGTTTAGGGTTTAGGGTTTAGGGTTTAGGATTTAGGGTTTAGGGTTTAGGGTTTAGGGTTAAGGATTAAGGGTTTAGGGTTTAGGGTTGGCGAAACTAGCACGACAGGCCCCGAGCCCTACAGGGCCTAAGCCGCAAAGCCCAAACCTGCAGGCCAGTCTGACCAACCCGGCAACTAACAAATAACCCTAAACCTTAAACCCTAAACCCTAAACCCTAAAACCCTGAACCCTGAACCCTAAACCCTAAATCCCTAAATCCCTAAACCCTAAAACCCTGAACCCTAAAACCCTGAACCCTAAAACCCTGAACCCAAAATATCCAAAACCCTAAACCCTAAACTTAGCTGCTGAGTTCATAAGCCCCCCCAAAAGTGTACACTTTCAGTTCTATAGGGGATTATAGTATCCCAAAAAGGTGTAAAGTGTGCTCACTCAGCTACCAGGTGAACCCTAAACCCTAAACCCTAAACCCCAAACCCTAAACCCCTAAACTTTGTTGCTGAGTTCATAATCCCATAAGCCCCTCAACCCCCAAACCCCAAACCCTCCATCCTAAACCCGAAACCCTAAACCCTAAACCCTAACAAATGCCCCGGCACCTTTAGGTCGGTCACATACAAGTTGATGAGCTGCTGACCTCAGATGGCGCCTAAACCCTAAGCCTCAGAGGGTTTAGGTTTACTGTTTAGGGTTTAGGGTTTAGGGTTTTACGGTTTTAGGGTTTGGGGCTTAAGGGAGTTTGGGGTTTCGGGCTTTCAGACACTCAAGCCCATTGAATGCCTGAAGCCAGCTGGGGTTTGGGGTTTCATGGCGGAAGCCCTAAACCCTAAACCCTAAACCCTAAACCCTAAACCCTAAACCCTAAACCCCTAAACCCTGTTGTCCGGGCAGCGAGTTGTCTCCACGTTGGAGGAGAACGCGTCCCAGGCGCTTTTGAAGGCCTCTTGGGCTTTCGGGAACACAGGGCTTGAACCCAGGGTTTAGGGTTTAGGGTTTAGGGTTTAGGGTTTAGGGTTTAGGGTTTGGGGTTTAGGGTTTGGGGTTTGGGGTTTGGGGTTTAGGGTTTAGGGTTTAGGGTTTAGGGTTTAGGGTTTAGGGTTTAGGGTTTCGGTTTAGGGCTTACACCCTCAACCCGAAACCCCCTACACGACCGAAACACTCTAAATCCCAAACACCCTAAACCGAGACCTTGTGTTGCGAGGCTGCGCGAGAACAATCACTGCGCATGACACCGTTTCATGGTCCCGCAGCTCAGAATGCCGACCCGGCAACCGCCACAACATCTTTAGGGTCTATATAGGTTCAGGGTTTAGATCTCATGGTGTTCGACAGCCGGACCCCCTGAATTACAGGGTTTTCCACAGCTTGGGGTGCTGAGAATGCAAAAAAAACTCAGAGCTCCGTGGCTTTCGATAGCGCTGCGACTGCTGGAAGGCAGAGACGAGTTTTTTGCGAGTTTCCTTTACAAAAAAAATGTCCGCCACATCTTCAACAACAGGGCTACGCATAAGGAACAACAACCCCAGAGGAGCAGGAGAGGATACCAAAGGACCGCCACGACCAAACCCTTACAAACAACCATCGTTTAGGGTTTAGGGTTCGGGCTTAGGGGGCCACACGAGACAGCTAAAGGAGCTCCCAAACCCCTTACGCCCCAAAGCCCGGAACGGCTCGAAGCCTCTCAACCCGTCTCTCAACCCCTGGTTAGGGTTGAGGGCTTAGGGCTTAGGGCTTAGGGCTTAGGGCTTAGGGCTTAGGGCTTAGGGCTTAGGGCTTAGGGCTTAGGGCTTAGGGCTGAGGGCCTAGGGCCTAGGGCTTAGGGCTTAGGGCTTAGGCTTAAACCCTAAACCCAAAACCTTAACCCTAAACCCTAAACCCTAATAGGTCTGAAGTGGCGGCCCCCCTCCCCCCTGCCCCCCCCACCCCCCCCTTGGGCACCTGGAAGGCATCTCTGAGCTGCTTTCCGGAAACATCTTCTCGAAGCCACTGCCTGAATGTTTAGGGTTTAGGGTTTAGGGTTTAGGGTTTAGGGTTTTAAGGCTTAGGGTTTAGGGTTTAGAGTTTGCGGTTTGGGGTTTGGGGTGTAGGGTTTAGGGTTGCGCTTAAAAGTATGGACCCCTGGAGTGCAGAGGTTTGAGGAGGAGGGCTTTTTGGGGTTTAGGGTTTAGGGTTTAGGGCGTAGGGTTTAGGGTTTAGGGTTTAGGGCGTAGGGTTTAGGGTTTAGGGTTTACTCGATCTTGCGAGGCTTCTAAACTGCTAGAAACCCCATAAACTGGTTCAGAGCCCATAAGTCCATGTAGTTCAAGCAAGTTTCAGTTGGGAGAACATGCCTTTCGAGGCAAATGCGATAACAAGGGGCCCGAAATGTACACCTGCCAAATCGCAGGATTCCCTTAGAAGAAAGACCCAATTGGGATCCCCCCCCCCCCGCCCCCCCAAATTCGGAAACCCCCTTTGCCAGCCAGCTGCCGAGGATGCAAGCAACTGCTACATGCCTTCGCAGAACCCGCCCCAAAAGGCAGCTCGGGCCACACCCACGTAAACCCTAAACCCTAAACCCTAAACCCTAAACCCTTAACCCTTAACCCTTAACCCTACGCGCCCTTCCTCCATCTCCTGGCCCTCCAGCTGCCGGCAGGAACTGCAAGTTACCACGATGTGCGCTTCAGCCTCCGCCTGGCGCCTGCACTTTGGCCACACTGGCGCGGGCCAATGCCATCATGGGCAGAGCAGCCAGTGGACCCTAAACCCTAAACCCTAAACCCTAAACCCTAAACCCTAAACCCTAAACCCTAAACCCTAAACCCTAAACCCTAAACCCTAAATCGTGATTGAGTTTCGTTCACGGCCCCAAAGTCGAAAAAACAAAAACAACAAGCTGTTCTTGGAGCCCATGGACCAAATGATTGTTGTGGCCCTTTGCCCCTAGCTACAGTAAAACTCTACACTTTTGACGAAGGAAATCGACTTAACTACTGGGCTGTAAGGCTTGGTAGCCCGAGTAACCACATTGCGTGAAAGGTACCCTTTTTGGGGTTTGGTATATTTTTATAAGGGAACCCAGAAACCCCCCCCCCCCTCCCACCGCTGGACTACCAAGAAGGTATGCAGCTCGGCAACCCCCGATCGCAAGTACAGGACCACTTGCGGAGGGAGGCTTAGGGTTTGGGGTTTGGGGCTTAAGGTCTAAGACAAAAAAGTTGGGGGGGGGGGGGGGGGGGCAGCCCTAAACCCCAAACCATCAGAACCGGCCTGTGGGCCGAGGTTAAGAGGTCGGACTTCTTCCACCATTCCTCGGAGCGTTTGGTTTTTTCGTTGCTGGTTTTTTCTGGAAGATCAGGGGGGCTGGGTAAGTAGTATTTAAGTACGTCCCTAAACCCTAAACCCTCAACCCTAAACCCTAAACCCCTAAACCCTAAACCCTAAACCCCTAAACCCTAAACCCTAGATCCTAATGGGGGTGGACCGCTTGAGGTTTCGGGGACGCGATTTAGGATGGTAGGGTTTAGGGTTGTAGGGTTGTAGGGTTGTAGGGTTGTAGGGTTGTAGGGTTGTAGGGTTGTAGGGTTGTAGGGTTGTAGGGTTGTAGGGTTGTAGGGTTTAGGGATGATCGGGTTGAAAACCCAACTGGGTCCTGTGCGGCGTGCTTAGGCTTCTCAGGGTGGATTGGGGTCGGGGGTTGGGGTGTCCTTGTGGGTTTTTATTGCCGTTTCATGACGTTACTAACTTCGGCGCCCCGAACCCTGAAGAACATCTACAGCGTTTAGGTTTGGTAGCCCCCAAATAACCCCTAAATGACCCCTAAGGTCCCTTAAAAGGGTTTCTCCTGTAGTCCCTTGACTGACCCCACGCCAAAACCCTAAACCCTTGGTTGTCCTTGAAGAACAGTCCATGGCGACGGGGTCTTGGGGTTAGGTGTGTTGCAGCTTAAGATTCATTAAACCCCAAACCCCAAACCCGAAACCCCTAAAGGTCTGAAGGTCCAACTCCCTAGCCCTAAACTCTACATCGCAAAACCCTAAACCCGAAACCCAACGCCCACACCAAGAACACAAGGGTGCTTCAGGCGGGGCGCGTGTCGCCAAGTTCCCTTCGACAGCCACACGATCCCTGCCGAAGGGATTCGTCGAATCCAGCATTTAGGGTTGAGGTTTAGGGTGTCTAGGGTCCAGGGTTTAGGTCGGAAGGTGTAATCCCTTCCCCCTTTTATTAAATACCCCCCTAATAATAAAAATACTTTCCGGAAAAACCTCCCGAAACCGAGCCCGCCTTTTAAAACCTATTCCGAATTAGGGGGGGGGGTTCAGGGCTCCTGAAACCCTGAAGCCAAGGAGGGTTTAGGGTCTAATTAGGGTTTAGGGTTTAGGGTTTAGGGCTTAGGGTGTGCGAGTGAGAGACAGAGTGACTGAGTGAGTGAGTGAGTGTGTGTGTGTGTGTGTGTGTGTCTCCGTAGCTCTGTCTGAGCCTCGCTGTGCTGCGAAAGTTGAGCTCTCCCCTTCTCTCTGTCTCCTGTCTCTCTGTACAGCACAATGAAGTACTTCATTACTTGAGTAACCCTGAAGTCTAATTTGGCGACATTTCGATAAAAATACCCCCTAATAATAAAAATACTTTTCGAATTTTTAAAGGGGGGGGGGGGGACCCCCCGTTTAATATTCGGGGGAAGGGATTAGGGTTCAAGGTTTATGTAGGGCTTTGGGGTTTAATGTTGGACCCAGATTAGTGGGGGCCTCCTCTTTAAAGTCAATTTGGCCGAATTATTCAGGATCTCGTGACTGTTGGCGGGGTCCTCTTTAAAGTCAAACGGTTCCCGAAATCCGGAATATTTTTTTAGGATTTGGGGCTTGCTTTAAACTAAGTTGAAACATTCAACCCTGAAAACCAAACCTCTCAAATCCAAAACCCCCGGCTCTGCAAAGCTCAGTTTTCTTCTCAACCTGTGTCTCTCAAGCTTTTCAAAAAGAGGGCCCGTGCTGCCTCAGGCTGCAAGTTGATGACTGAGTTATCCCTAAACCCGAACTCTTGGACTTCTGGATGTCCTAAGTTGCCTGAGGCAGCAGTCGTGGCCGGCCCCCAGAGGGGGATGTTCCTGAGCCCGGATTTGCTCAGGTTTCTTTGGCGCGGCAAGCTTCACTACCCTTCTGAGCCTCAATCGGCTGAGGCCTGTTGGCCTTGAGTATCTCTTTGAGATACTGGGGATGTTCCTGAGCCTGGATTTGCTCAGGTTTCTTTGGCACCGGAAGCCTCACTACCCTTCTCAGCCTGACTTGGCTCAGGCTTGTCACTACCCTTCTCAGCCTGAATTGGCTCAGGCTTGTTGGCCTTCAGCATCTCTTTGAGATACTGAGCGAATTCCTTGGGTCCTGCAGCAGGGCAATCGTCTCAAGCAAGGGCTCACAAGTGCAAAAGGCTAATGGCAGAGTTGCAGTCCTGGCCGAAAGGGCAGCTTTCCCTGAGCAGCGGCCTCAGTGGTGAGGTGGTACCTCAGGGCTTTCTCAGCCTGGCACTGAGGACAGCCTGTCTGCCATCGGCAATTCTGGCAGATCCCTGGCGAGTGCTCTAAGGCCAGAATCTTGGCTGTGGCTTCTTTGCTGAGATGCTTCCAGGTGAACCTGAAGAGGTTCTTGTCGAGGGATTCCTTAGCAACCACAGCAGCCTTGCTGGTCGAAGTCTTGGCTGTGTCTAAGGCGTGCTGAGCTTTGGCTACCCTCTTCTCTGCTTCCTCTCTCTCTGCCTCAGTCTTCTTGTAGGCCTTGTCGATCTCAGCGATCCTCAGCTTCTGCTCCTTCTCAAGATGTGGCTTCATCTTGAGAAGCCTCTCCTTCCAAGTCTTAGCCAGAAGCCCAGGCCAAACCCTCAGCCATTCTCCTCGGGCCTGCCTCACTTCCTGCTCCATCCAGGCTAAGACATAGAACCCGCAGAGCAGTGACCCCTGAGGCTGCACTGCTGAGTTCGTCTTCTTGGGGAGGCTGAACTGAGGATCGAGCAAGCTGCCGATCCTGACCTGAGCCACGGTGCAGGGCTCAATTGGCTCCTGAAGGCTGTCGTAGAGTCGCCACTGAAAGGCTGTCGTAGAGTCGCCACTGAAAGCCCTCGGTCTGGTCTAGGGACTCTCTCTGAGCCACCAGCAAGGTCCAGTGCAAAGCCCTAACCACTGGAACCAGAAGCCTGAGGGCATTGCCGAAGGCTTGCTTAACGGCATTCTCACGTGGCTCAAGCAAGTGCTCAGGAAACTCGAAGAGCAAGTGAGGAAGGCCAGGGTCTAAGCACTCCACTGAGAACTCCTCAAGGGAGCCTGCCTTGGCTTTTCGCAGGGACCAGCTCATCATGGCCCAGCCCTGCCAGATCCACTGATCCTCCACTAAGAATGGCTTCTCAGTGTCAGGGAAGGGCACTAAGCCGTGGTCGGCATAGTCGTCGTGCCTCAGCTTTGGCTCAGGCCAGCATGAGATGGCCCTGAGGATTGTCTGAGTATCTGCCCTGCTGAGGTATTTCAGCTGAGCCCAGACGAACTCAGCAGTCTTGGGCTCCCAAAGGGTGAGATGCTCAGACCTGACCTCGAAGGTGCCACTCACGGTCATGACAGTGTAGCGACCTGACTGGAAGTCTGAGGCAATGCCCTTAATGCCGAAGAGCATGCGGCCAGCAGCCTCAGAGACACAAATGACTTCTTTCTCAAGGAAAGGAGCCAGGGCTGCGGACTCAGTCTCTGCGGTCTCAGCTTTGGCCTTGGTCTCAGCTTTGGCCTGAGCCTTCTTCTCCTTCTTCTCCTTCTTCTTCTTAGCTGTGACCTTAGCAATGACCTTGTCGACTGTGGCCTTCTGGTCGTGCTTCTTAGCTGCTTTCTTCTTAGCCGAAGCCTTCAGGAACTTGCTGGCCTTGCCCTTTGCTGAGGGCTTGTTCTTTGCTGAGGGCTTGGTGGTTGCACTCAGTTTCTGGCCTTTCGTCTCTGTCCTCACAGGCACCACCTGAGCGAGTGCTTCTGCACGACTGCTAAGCATCAGCTTTTGCCTCAAGCTTTGTAGAAGCTTGCCCCTGAAGGCTGTCCTGTGCTTGAGCCTCTCCCTCCTCAGGGCTGCTTTTTTCCTGATCTCCTTGACTCTGTCAGCATAGCCCTCCTCAAGAGCTCTGCGAGCTGCTGCGCGGCGGAGCTTTGGATGCAGCCTGAGGGAAAGGCTGTTCTGCAGACTCAGGTCCAGATCCTCTGCGAGCTCACCCTCTAAGTCAAAGCCTCCTTCCTCAGGCTCCTGTTCAAGGTCTTCCTCAGGGTTGAAGTAGTCCCACCTGATAAGGTCGGAGATCTGCTTAGCTGAGTCGCTCAGAGACCAGTCAGCCTGGATGGGTTTGCCTGCATCGTCCAGCCACTTAAGCCTCTCTGAGAGGCAGCTGGCTGGGAAGCGACGACTGCCCATCCTGAGGTCGAGCTCCTTAGCCCAGGGCTGCTCACAGACGGGCTCAAGCTTCCCACTCGCAGGGTTGGGCCGGTAGGCCAGAAGGCCATTCCTGACGGCTGCCCTCACGACCCAGGAGTGCTCTTCGTTCTTTTGCCTCAGCTGCTCCTCAGCCCAGACCACTGAGGTGACGATCTCAAGGGCACCCACTCGCCAGACCTCAGACTTCCCTGAGAATCTCTGCTGCTCCTGAAACTCTGTCCTCAGGGCGGAAAGCTTGTGCCTCACGGCACCTTTAAACTCTCTGGCGAAGTCTGAGTCCGTGATCTGGAGCTTAGAGGTGCACTTCGCAGCAACTAAGCAGCTGATCTGCTGGGCTAAGGCCATCGACTCAGCAGCCGTGTCTGAGAACACCGAGCTGAAGCAGTCCCTCTGCCAGACTGAGCAAGGGTACTCAGTGGCCTGGCCCTCAATGACCCAGCTGAGGATCACGGAATCGACGTTCGCAGCTGGCTGGCTCATGATGTCCAGCTTAGCGACCAGCTCAGGGTGAGCCTGCCTGAGCTTTCGATAGCTGAGCAAGATCTTGCCGACTGAGCCACCAGCTGAGTGAACCTTCTCCTTAGCACCGATCCTGAACCTCTCAGTCTGGATCCACTTGCCGTCCTCAGAGATGTTGCTGAGGCGAGCCCACTGGCCGGGCACCACCAGCAGCCCCTTGCCCACTAAGCCGACGACTGGCTTAGTGGGCTCATCCAGAACCTGAAGAAGCACCTGACGGGCCTCGTAGGTGATTCTGAATCTTTCGTCGGCTGAGAAGCCTAAGGTGGTCTTAGCTCCGGCCTTAGGCAATGCCTTCTTCTGTTTCTTCTTTGGCTGATGCTCAGGGCCTTTCTCACTGTGCCTGAACCTCTGCTGCTGCTGCTGCTGCTCCTCAGCTTGGTCTTCGGCCTGCATCGCCTGCAGAGGTTTGTCTGGGCTAAGGCTGCTGAAGCTCAGGGCCTTTCTGACGGTGCCGGACCCTTCTGAGCCGAAGCTGAGGGCTTTCTTCACTCCGGGCGTCCTGTCACCTGTGTCGCTGATGGGAACCACTTCAAAGCTTGCATCTGAGCCAGTCTTCATGGCATCCTCAATGGCTTCCCTGACCTCAGAAAAGTCCCGAGTGGTCTCAGCTGAGTGGAGCTCCTCCTCAGAGAAGACGGCCTTTCGGCCTGTTGCCTTAGCCCACAGCGGCACCTGATCGGAGAAGCCGATGGCTAAGTGAGCCCTGTTCTTCACGAAGTCCTCAGGGTCTGCCACCCTCTTCTCAGAAGAGAGCTCAGCAACGGAGCTGAGGCTGGCCAGCTGGAGGCACCAGTCAAACTCCTGCCAGGTGAGTTTGCACCGGACCTGAGACTCGAGGTTGCTGATGTTACTCACGACCTCTGAGGTGGCGAACTTAGCCTTGCTCCACCTCAGGAGTTTCTGAGTGAAGCTTTTCTGGTAGGTCTTGCTCTTGCTAAGCTTCTCAGCCCTGGACTCCTTGTCCTCAGCATCCTGCTTGAGCTCAGCCACCTTGAGGTTGCTGAGGCCCTGGTCCTCTGCCTGAAGACGAGACTTTGTGGCCGAGAGCCTCAGCTGAAACAAGAACTCCTGAAAGAAGTCCTGTTGGCTGATCGTGTGGCCACAGGCTCGCTCAATGGCCAGCCACTGAGAAACTTTCTGAAGGACCTCAGGGTA